TTATTTACTTGACAGAGAGACAGTGAGAGAGGGAACACAAGCAGGGGGAGTGGGAGAGGGAGAAGCAGGCTTCCCGCTGAGCAGGGAGCCCAACGCGGTTTCGATCCCAGGACCCTGGGATCATGACCTGAGCCGAAGGCAGACACTTAACAACTGAGCCACCCAGGTGCCCCTGGATACTGATCTTTTATCAGATATGTGTTTTGTAAATATTTTCTCCTACTCCAGGCTTGGCTTTTCTTTCTCTTAATAGTGTCTTTCATAGAGCACAAGTTTTTAACCTTAATGAAGTTCAACTTACAAATTTTTTCTTTCATGGATCATGTACCTAGTCATTGCCAAACCCAAGGTCACCTAGATTTTCTCTTATGTCATCTAGAAATTTCAGTTTTGCATTTTACATTTCAGGCTAGGATCCATTTTTTTTTTAACGATTTTATTTATTTATTTGAGAGAGAGAGAATGAGAGACAGAGAGCACAAGAGGAAAGAGGGTCAGAGGGAGAAGCAGACTCCCCGCTGAGCAGGGAGCCCAATGCGGGACTCAATCCCGGGACTCCAGGATCATGACCTGAGCCGAAGGCAGTCGCTTAACCAACTGAGCCACCCAGGCGCCCAGTCTAGGATCCATTTTGAGTTGATTTTTTGAAAGGTGTCAAATCTATATCTAGATTTTTATTTGCATGTGAATGTCTAGTTGTTCCAGCACAAAAGGCTGGTTTATACTTTAAAAGGGGGGGGGCACCTAGCTGACTCAGTTGGGCTTGAACTCACAATCCCAAGAGAAATAATTTAATGCTTAAATAAATGAATAAACAAATAAATAAATGTTGGTTTGTTATTAATTTTTTTTTGGTGGTAGTGGTAGGGGAGGAAGGAAGCTCCCCCTCTACCAACACACGTCTGTAGGCTGTTTTTCTCCATCTTGGATTATCTTTGCCTCTCTCATCCCCCTTACCTGCAGTGAACTTCATCCATCCATATTAATCTATTTAATCTTACTTAACACCAACCTCACACTTTCACTATCCACTTTTTCCAATATTCTGACTGGTACTCAACACGATCAGTTAACAGTTGGTGAACTCTAAAACCATTTATGAGCTATAAATCCCATTTAGCACTGCCATATACCACTGTCCTTCCTCCTCAACCAGACTGTAAACTCTTGGTGAGGCCAGAAATCCTCCTCTTCTCATTTACCCCTGGTAGCTTAGCAGAGGTCTGGGCACAAAATATGTCAGCAATAGTTGCTGACAATTTTAGACTACCTGGACTTTGGTCCTGACTTACCAAGTGTCCTTTGATCTTCAAGAGGGATGGCTATGCTTTAGGAAGTCCAGCTGAGGACCTGCCAAAGGTGTAAACCCTGAAGCCTTGCCCTGACATGGCCAGAATGGTGCATCCCTAATTTTGATGCCCAATTTAGCATTATGCCCACACAAACAAGAGGGCCCTGATCTCCTTAGAGAATTAGGAAAGATTTACCAATGAGACAGCAAAATGTGGTCTCTAAAGTACTAAAGGATGCTGAGTCATAAAGCATGTTCCTTTCATTATGATGGTTATATGGTCATAATGACTGTTCCAGTCATTATGAAAACAATGAAAAACGAATGAAATAATAAGGAGAATGGACAGTTTCTGGTGACTGGCTCCCCACCTCATGCCTAATTAATAATCCAAGTAATGGTAATCCCCCACCCTCTGATTTTGTTTTCTGTTTTCATCTGCATCATTAAGTGTTCCCATTCAAGGATCTCTGTGTACTTCAAAGTGAACAAGGATGGAGGGAATGAAAGGGTCCCGAACTGAGGCTGGGGCCAGTGGTCTCCACGGTTGTGACTGAACCCAATCTCCATGGCATACTGTGCTGACAGACTTCTCAGAATTGGTTTTCTCCAGAAAAGTACTGTGGCTTCTATTTGCCAGGATCACCTAGCTTCTGTCTATGGCCCACCCAAAAAAACTGCAGGCAGAAAAAATGAGGGAGGCCCAAACTCGGATATGGCACATTCACGGCCCTGGGTTTCCAAAACGGGTGGCGAAGCTCCTGCAGAGCTCGAGGGGCCCTCGGGGTGGGCCTCAGGGCGGCCGCAGCAAACTCTGCAGTCAGCATGGGCAGCTGCACTGCCTCTGCCTCAGGAACAGCCTGGAGCCCAAGACTCACAGGCTCCAGGCAGATGTTCACTCAGCCTGGAAGGGCAGCAGACTTGTTGGCAACATCCACAATCCTACCTCCAACTTTCCTTGAAAGTCAAACAAAGTACAACTGTTCCTGACATCACTCTTCCTGACCTGGGAAAGCCCCCAAATTCTGTAGCAGGCAAGCAACGGTCCCCATGGATGGTGTAAAGTGGGCCAAGTAACCCCCAGTGTTTTATGTAAAACAAATCACATCTAGACAATTGGAAAATAAAAATCTCAAGTCCCCTCCTCTAGGACCTGTTTAAAAGACATTGCCCCCTTTTTACCACTTAGCCACTGAAGTAGCCTCTTTAGACACACCATACTCAGTGGTGACTCAGGGGGCTCCCAGCTGCTAAAAACAAAGATTAAAGAGGGATGCCTGGGTGGCTCAGTTAAGTGTCTGCCTTTGGCTCAGGTCATGATCCCAGGGGCCTGGGATTGAGCCCCACGTTGGGCTCCTTGCTCAGCGGGGAGCCTGCATCTCCCTCTCCCCCTGCTCTTTCTCTCTCTCTTGCTCACTTCTTCTAAAATAAAAAAATAAAATCTTAAAAAAAAAAACCCACAAAGATTAAAGACCATTAAATGATACTGCTGGCTAAGATCAGGGACAGTAAGCAACCTGGGCTAGAAATTCAACCTTGCTCATGCTGAGCAACAAATAACATCAGTAACTGACAGGTACAGAAGTTTAAACAAAATGGGGGATAAAAAAAGAGATAAAAAAGAAACCAGAATCTCCTTCAAGTCTAGGAAAGCAGGTATAGGAGTGCTTAACAAGCCAGGCAGCGAGGGATGGAGACTCCACAGGCAAGTCTGGCCATGGAGAAGCAGAAGAGTCTCACTGCCCATAAGCGGAACGAGTTTTCTCAGTACATGATTTCATTTTACGCTACTGTTTTGTTTGCAGTAAAAGTATTCCTTAAGTCCATTTTAGAGTCTTTCTCCCCCTGAGCCTAATATCCCTTAGTCTCTTCTAAGGCAAAAATTGTTGGTCCCGTTTTGCAGATCCACAAATATCTTAAAGAGATAGAATGGCAGGGTGTGACCGTGTAACCATGGCCCAGAGATGGGCAGGAAAAGGTTCTGATATCCTGGTGTCTCACCAGGTGCAACGACTGCCCTGAAGACAATCTGTGGCTGAACCTTGAACTGTTTTCACTAGAGAAAGGCAAAGTCGACTCTGTTCTTCCCGAGTTTTATCCAACTGCAGCCTGAGAGTCCAGCTGTTCTGGTCATGGCCTCACATACTTTCTGCAGAGGCTCTAGGTGACAAGGTATATGCGGTGGTCTGAAGAAGCACACTAAGCAGTGTGGGAGGAAACCACAAGGGAGGACTTTCTGGCCCTAGCACAGTGGATATCTAGTTTCTGTGGAGGACCGGACAAGCAGCCCTAAAACTGCCTGTCTAGGTTATGGGTGCTTACCACCCAAGGGTGAAGCAACAAAGGTTCTTCTCTTTCCTAGTCTCTGGTATGTCATCACAGTCATGCTAAGGGTTGAGGATCTCAATACTGAAAGGGCTACTGGAGGGCTTTTCTTTCTAGAAGTGGACACAGAGGTAGCACTGGACATATTCCACACCATCAGGGAGAAAGGAAACCAGGACAACATAAATGAGTGAAACAGACTTGGCTACTGATCTACTGAGTTGCTACAGTGTCTGGATGTTTTATAAAACTAAAAGAAATCGCTTTTCATGCCCAGCAGCCAGCACAGTCAATAGCCATCACCAAAGCCATCTCAGTAGGAGGGTAAATCAAAGATCACCAAGGCCAAGAAGCAGTATGTTAAGAATAATGATTCCCCTCTGAGATGATGATGCTCAAAAAATCCACAACAAACTAGCCAAGCTCCACATTTAGAAAAAAGGTTATAAAATCATGTTCATGGGACAATGCTCAAAGTCAGATGGGGCCAGAGCATAAATTCCGGGTGGGATGGCTGAGCAACAGCCTACTGTGGAAGGTAGTTGGACATCATACTTACAGTGAGTTGGGCCGGGTGGGTTTGAGCACATCCAGGTCCGGGTCACTGGAGTTCATGTTGGGCTGCAAGCTGCTGCTGGAATTAAGGATGCTATTTGCATTTGATGAGACGACAGATTCCAAACTGGAGTTGATGATGCTGTTTCTTTGTTCCTCTAGAGAAAAACAAGGCCACAAACCCCATATTACTACTATTTCATAAGGATAGTTTGTTTCGACATATACAAAAACCTACCAATAATGAGAATGGATTGACCTCAGCAAAGCTCAGAAGACATAGGAAAGGATAAGATTTACAGGTGGGAAAGGAAGAGGAACAGGTGACTTGTGACTTTGGAGAAAACCCCCCTCTGCTCAGCCTGATAGGACAGACCAGCCATTTTCCTAAGAGTGACCCTACCATTGCACCATAAATTGTGTGTCTTCTTTTGACTGGTAGATGGGCAGAACACAGAGTGGCCTTCATAGCACCCTTGTATTCAACCAGGTCCTCTTGGTTTCTGTGACATTCACCTTTTATTCTAAAACTCCTGCCCCCAGTATGGTCTTAACTGCCAGGGCCATGTCCTAGCTCCAATTCTATAGCACCTCACCATAAAATATCTACTACTTACTTGGTCATCAACATCCTTATGACTCTGCAGTCTACATTCCTGACCACTCCCAAGACAAACCCTCCTGGGTTGCCTCCAGCTCCATGTATTTGATGTCTAGCTTCCAGTCAGTTCTTTAATTAATAGATCTATAAGGGCTACAGAGTCGTCTGCATATAAAAAACCGAGTCCATGGTCCACGCAATCATATTAGTGCTTGGAGAGTATTACTAATCCCAGAGGGAGGAAACCTGAGTTCTATTCAAGACTCCACCCCTGCCTGGCTGAGTGGCCTCAGGGAATTTTCACTCTGTTTCTTGGCTAATGCATCTGTAAAATGGGGATAATGAAAACTGCCGTGCACAGCTCAAGGAGTTCATAAGGATCAAGTGGGATCATATGCAAGAATGCATTTTGTAAACTTCAGAACACTGTTCAAAGATAAGAACTTTCTGTTTCTTCCCATCTTTAAAAACTTGGAACCATGTGCTGAAGAAAACATTTTTGGGATAAATTAGCTAAATGGCACAGGCACCACTGCTGTAGCAAAATATCAGCGTCCTGGAATGTCATTCTCATCCCACATTCAGTACAGATACACCATAATAAAATCAGCTGATGCTGTGGGCAGTCAATTCACTTATCAGGAAACAGCCTATGTGGATTAATCCTCACTGGACCTTTGAAACAAGCTGGAGGTATACCATGTCCCTAAGAAGACAGACTGGACTCACTGACACGGTAGTTTAGAGGCTGACATTTGAACTCTTCAAGCAATACAGGGGGTGATGTGATAAAAAAAAATACTTTTCCATTTATATTAGTCATGTGCATAAAAATTTATCATGCTTATGAGATGATGTTAGAGTAACCTTTACATTTAATACACACACATTCATTCATTCACACACACACACACACACACACACACACACACACACACACACACCCAAACACTCAAACACCCCTAATATCTTGACAAATTCTCAATGCCATGTTTAAAACCCTGCAGAAGAGTCAAAAACTCCATGAGGCTATTGGGAGATTTCTGAACTCTAAGTAGATTTTGAAAAAAGTAGATTATTAACTTGATTCCTGAGATTTGAAACTATTCATATCTCAAGAGCTTAAGTTCCAAACAGAAACAACAACAAAGAAAGAGAAACCAAAAGAGTTACAATGCACCCAGATGTAGGAGAACTAACAGGGACTTTGAATGGGAACTTGCTATCAGGAAGAAAAACAACTCTAAAATTACATAATTAGGGGATCACTGAGAAAATGGATATGCCACTTACCAGTATGAATCAGTGCAAACTTTCCTTTGCACAAAATACTCATGTCGAGATTTCTGAAAAAGACTGAGAAGCCCAAGACCACCATATAGAAGAGGGCACTCAACACACTTCCCTGGGGTTCAATGAAGACAATTTCTGCTTCACAGGGAAGGAGAGGTGAATAGTTTTACTAACTCTAGTTTGAGGCCAACTTTGCATGATGTAATTCTCTGGATTCACAGGAAACCAAAGAGTATAACATAGCTCATATTTCTCCTGTGATTATATTTACTTGCCCTTAAGAGGACTATGAGTCTATAAATTAAAAACAATACCTTGCTAAAAACATATTAGTTTTTCTAAAATATTATTGGGACTTTTTTTCCCTGCCTTACTGTCCATTAGAAAAAGAGTATCTGAGATGGAATTTTCTTCAATTTTCATCTATTCAGTGAATACTTATTGAGTACCAAACACATTCCCAGATAATGAACACCCCTAGGTATTTTATTCAGATGTAAACTAGAATATTTATTAGTAACTTGCACATACTTATTTGTTCATATGTCTACCTTCCTCGGTAGACTAGGAGCAACCTAAGACTGAACATGTGACAGATAAAGCTTTGAAATCACAACTGAAAAAAAAAACAGATAAAGATGCTTTCCTTTATGTAACACTTTATCAGAATCCTAACCTCATATAAGAATCTGATTCTATAAATGGGATTTGGGTAAAATTTTTGAGAACTTATCTTCTGTTACAGTATTACAGACTGGCTTCTCCATGAGCTAAGCAAGGAACGCTGCTGCATATGGAAACTGACATTTGTCTTAGATGAACCCACACAAGAATGAGGATGGGGTGGACAATGAGAATCCAACCCTGCCTGGCCTAGAAAAGCCACAAAAATTAAATGGGTGGCAACCCCCAAACTGAAGTCGAGGATTTCTAGTATTTCATTCAGTGGAGGTCACTAGAACTGTTTTTTGGAAGTAAATCCTTTTTGAGATTCTATTTTGACTTATATTTAGGTACTGCGAGCCTTACACATATGGCAAAACCTCTAACAAAATGACAACAAAAGCAAAAGATCAAGAAAAAGTGTCCTTTGTTCAAAAAGAAAATACAGAAAAAAATTAATCATAAAATTTCATAGTTTTGCAGTCAAGATAGCCAAATACGCATCTAAAGAGTCAGACTCTTTACCAGTATGCCTCGATGGGCCACATGATAAGGAATTCTGGAAACCTGGCACTCTCGGACTATAAGATCGCTACAGTTTTATTGGACATGAGACCTCAAATAGTGAGACTGAGAACGTCTAAGGTGGATAGGCCTCTGAGCTGAAATGCTGACAATCCCTATTGAGGGTGAGCAGGACAGTGAGAATCATTCCAGAGAAGAGGTGGAGAATAAAATCAACAGCAATTCAAATGTTTTAGTGGTATGGCAAACTATACCAAGACAAATTCTAAAGCATTTGGCATGAATTAAGGAAAAAAGAGAACATGATTCAATAATGTCACTCCAAACAGGGGGATCTTTGTCAGGTGGGCAAATGAGTACTTCCCCTAACAGAAAACATGAGAACAGGCAGCCTAAAACACTATTTTAAAAAAAATTAAATTAACCAAATCTTTCCAATACCAGACCTGGACTTCTTTGAGACATCGATGATTCAAACTAGCTCTGGCATCCTCATCACAAGGTATAAGAAAGACTGATGGCAATTACATTGCTGAAGAAAAGGAAATTATAGGCTAGGGAGGGGACTGAAAAAGAAAAACAACAACAGCTATGAGTCAAAGCAAAAGGATCATGGAGAACCACTTAAATGACCTAAAGAGAAAGAATGCCTACAACTCAGGAGTACTCCTAAACTGGATGAAGTCAGTGGGGATGCTTGCCTTCTTCAAACATGTTTGTCAACAAGAATCTCTCTTCGTTTTAGTCATAGAAGACAAGAGCTTGGAGCAAGGAAATGATAAAATAAATCCCCTAACAAATGTAAACATGTATGGGTAAGTGATGAATGTTTTCATGAACGTAGTTTCTATGAAGAGTGATAAACTAGATGTGGTCCTAGTGCTGAGAAATGCAAACTACTCAGGGCAGGGGCATGTATGCCCATACGGAACCCCTCGAGCATCTGTTACAGTGACCTGCGAGGTCAGCATCAGTCACACGTTCCTGGCACCTGGCCCGGGCATAATATACACTAAAGCTCCATGAATGGTTACAAGACAAATAATAAATATAAGGTGACAATAAGCAGTGAAAATGTATTCTGCTAGCACAGAAAGAGGCAGTTCCAAGTGCCTGAATTTTCCAGGTGCTTCATACAGGGACCACTAATGTCCTTGAAACCAAAGTAATGGTTACAGTGGACAGAGTCTGTGTTTTTTGTACAAATCAGGAGTGGAAAAATATGACTATGCAACCAAATCACTGCAACTAAAAAAAGAAAGCCACAGAATAATTTTGGTGATATTGTACTTGTTCTGGGGGTTGCCATGGAAATCTGGGAGCTAAGCAACTTCACTTTCCATATTTACCAAGTGACTCCTGCTCACTCTAATGACAATCCCTCCCCATCCCCACACCCCCCCCTCCATACAAAAGGCAGGGTCTCTGTTTGTCACAGAACCCAGAAGCAGGGCCAGGAATGCACATGCAAAACCAAACCAAATTCACATGTCTCGGCAAGCCTCAACGCTCTGGCCCACTGAATACACAGAGTGGGAGGATAAATAGGAAACACAGACTTGCAACGTCACTTTGGGGGAGGTTTCCCACCACGCATGGACGTCTGTCAGAATACGGGCTAACATCATCTTTCCATGATGTCTGAGACTAGCTGTCAAAAAAAGGGAAGAAGAAATGTTCTTAAACAGTAGCTCATGATGCCTCACAGAGCCCTAAGGAGGGAATGTGCTCTCTACATGATCAAACAGGGAGGAAAGGGAGTTACCAGACTGATGGAAGTTCTGCAAAGACACAGGCTTTCGACAAAAAATATTAAGACAAAAGCAAAATACCCAGAGGCTTTCCCTTGCTGTGGTAGGGAGAGAGGTGTACTTTCTCCTGCTTATTAAAGTTTTGCAATGAAGTCTGTAATGTATCATCCTGACAAGATAGGATGATAATAGAATGGCAGCTTAATGAATTTTGCAATAAAAAATGATGAGTGCACAGCAATTTCTGAGTTTACCATCTCTGGGAAACACCCAAGTACATGAGAAGCTTGGGATCAGACTTTCTGAAGCAATTTTTTTCTTTGTA